AAAAAATAAAAAAGTGTGGGACTTTATCATTCCCGAAACTCAATCTGAAAAAAAGGTGGCTCAGGGGCCCCTGGGTGGTTCAGTCATTAAGCATTTGCCTTTGGCTCAGGTCATGATCCCAGGGTCCTGGGATCGAGCCCCGCATTGGGCTTCCTGCTCTGCAGGGAGTCTGCTCCTCTCTCTCCCGTTCCCCCTGTGTTCCCTCTCTGGCTGTGTCTCTCTGTGTCATATAAATAAATAAAATCTTAAAAAACAAAACAAATTAAAAAACGGTGGCTCAGTTAGTTAAGCATCTGACTTCGGCTCAGGTCATGATCTCAAGGTCCTGGGATCCAGCCCCGAGTCAGGCTCTCTGCCCTCAGTATGGAGTCTGCTTATCCTCCCCCCATACCCCTCCCACTGCTCCTGTTCTCTCTCACTCTCACATAAATAAATAAAATCTTTAAAATAAGTAAATAGATGTACCTGGGTGGCTCAGTCAGTTAAGTTTCTGCCTTCAGCTTGGGTCATGATCCCAGGGTTCTGGGATCAAGCCTCACGTCTGGCTCCCTGCTCAGTGGGGAGAAGCCTGCTTCTCCCTCTTCCTCTGCCACTCCCCCTGCTTTTGCACTCTCTCTCTCATTCTCTCTCTCAGTCAAATGGATAAATAAAATATTTAAAATTAATTAATTAATTAATTAATTAAAATAAGAAGTATTCTAAGGGTCTGCATTATCTAAAAAGAGATAAAAATAATACTTTAGTGTGGCTGGGTGGCTCAGTCAGTTAAGCATCTGCCTTCAGCTCAGGTCATGATCCCAGGGTCCTGGCATCAAGCCCCGCTTCAGGCTTCCTGCTCAGCAGGGAGTCTGCTTCTCCCTCTCCCTCTATCCCTCTCTCCTGCTCATGCTTGCTCAAATAAGTAAATAAAATCTTTTAAAAATAATGCTTTATATTAGACTTCAATAAGCCATAAATGTATGTTACAATTTCTCAGGTAAATACCCAAAAAATAATAATTAAAAAAAATAGGGGTGCCTGAGTGGCTTAGTCGGTTAAGCATCTGCCTTTGGCTCAAGTCATGATCTCAGTGTCCTGTGATCAAGCCCTGCATTAGCCTTCCTGCTTAGCAGGGAGTCTGCTTCTCCCTCTCTCTCTGCCCCTTCCCCAACTTGTGTGCACTTGTGCGTGTGCTCTCTCTCAAATAAATAAGATATATTTTTTTTAAATAACAAATAAATAGGCGTGCCTGGGTGGCTCAATCAACTGGGTGTCTGCCTTTGGCTCGAGTCATGGAACTGGGGTCCTAGGATCAAGCCTCACATTGGGGTCCCTGCTGGGGAACAAGTCTGTTTCTCCCTCTCCCTCTCCCCATTCCCCTGCTTATGCTCTCTCTCTCAAATAAATAATTTTAAAATATATATAACAAACAAATAAGTATAACCACCAGAGAGCACCTGGCTGGCTTAGTCAGTAGACCAGGAGGCTCAGGGTAGTGAGTTCTTGGGGTAGTGAGTTCGAGCCCACATTGGGCATAGAGCTTACCAAAAAAAAAAAAAAAAAAAAAAGGAATAGAGAAAAAAACAGTATAGCCACCAAGATAATAGAGAATAAGGAGAAAACTGAATAATAAAAAATCAGTAGTGGTGAAACTACAATTCACTAGGAAAACAATGATTATAAATTTGTGTACATCTAACGATCTAGCCTCAAAACTAAGAGAAGTAAAAAGGGAAATAGGCAGGGTACCTGAGTGGTTCAGTTGGTTGATTCTTGGTTTCAACTCAGGTCGTGATGCCCAGGTCCTTGGCACCAGTCTGCTTCTCCCTCCCCCCCACCCCCACCGATCCCTACCCTTCTCTCTCTCTCTCTCTCTCTCTCTCTCTCTAATATAAATAAATCTAAAAATAATAATTAAAAAGGGGAAATGTATTAACAAGGAAGAAAGACTAAAAATCGTTATATAAACATCTCAGGAACTTTGAACAGCAAATTCAACCCAAGAAAGCAACAGGAAGGAAATAATATAGAGAAGAGCAGAAATTAATGAAATGGATAACAAACACCCAATACGAATCTCAAAACTAAGAGCTGATTCTTTGAAAAGATTAACAGAATGGGGCGCCTGGGTGGCTCAGTGGGTTGGGGCCTCTGCCTTTGGCTCCGGTCATTATCCCAGGGTCCTGGGATCAAGCCCCGCACCGGGCTCTCTGCTTGACAGGGAGCCTGCTTCCTCCTCTCTTTCTCTTTCTGCCTGCCTCTCTGCCTACTTGTGATCTCTATCTGTCAAATAAATAAAATCTTTAAAAAATAATTTAATTAAAAAAAAATAAACAGAATGGATAAACTCCTAGTGATGAGACTCATCAAGAAAAAAAATACAGGGGTGCCTGGGTGGCTCAGTGGGTTAAAGCCTCTGCCTTCCGCTCAGGTCATGATCCCAGGGTCCTGGGATCGAGCCCTGCATCGGGCTCTCTGTTCAGCAGGACGCCTGCTTCCTCCTCTCTCTCTGCCTGCCTCTCCACCTACTTGTGATCTCTGTCTGTCAAATAAATAAGTAAAATCTTTAAAAAAAAGAAAGAAAGAAAGAAAAAAAATACAAATGATATCTAGAATGAAAAAAGAAGACACAAATACAGATCCTACAGTCTTTATAAGGATTTTAAGTGCTTTATATGAGGTATATACCCAAAGGAATTGAAGGCAGGGCCTCAGATATCTATGCACCCGTGTTCACAGCATTATTCATGATAGCCAAAAGGGAGAAGCAACCCAAGTGTCCATCAACAGATGAACAAACAAAATGTGGTATAGTGGAATATCATCCAGCCATAAACAGGAATTTCGATACATGCTGTAACATGAACCTTGAAAACATTAAATGAAATAAGACCCAAAGGGACAACTATCATATGATTTCACTCATATAAAATAGGCAAATTCATAGAGATAGAAAGATTAGAAGTTATTAGCAGCAGGAGGGAGGGGGCAGTGCTTAAGGGTTACAAAGTTTCTGTTAAAGGTGATGAAGAAGTTTTGGATATAGATCACTGTATGACTATATCACTATAGATCACTACATCATGGTTGTCTAACATTGTGAATATACTTAATACTGCTGAATGGTTAAAATGCAAATTTTGCATTAGGCTAATCATTGTAAATGGATGTTATGAACAACTTCCTACCAAAAGAATTTGAAAATTTAGATAAAACAGACAAATTCCTAGGGAAACACCACTTACCAAAATTGGTAAAAGAACAAATAGACAATAGGAATAATTCTAAGTCCCTGAAGGAAATTGAGTATGTAATTAATAACCCTTCCACAAAAAACACTCAGGGCCTAGGTGACTTTACCACTGAGTACTGCCAAACATTTAAGGAAGAAATAACACCAATCTTACTCTTCCAAATAAGTGGTAAAGAACACTTCTGAACTCATTTTATGAAGCCGACATACCTTAATACCAAAACTTGAAACGGACATTAACATAAAAGGAAAATCCCATGCCAATTTCATTCGTGAACACAGATGTAAAAATCCTAAGACAATATTAACACATTGAATCCAGCATATATAAAAAGCATAACATTATGACCAAGTAGAGTTCATTCCAGAATGCAAAGTTGGTAAATCAGTAAATACAGAATTGCCACATTCGCAGAATAAAAGAGGCAATGCTTATGATCATTTCAAAAGATGCAGAAGAAGAATTAGATAAAAGTCAATATCCATTCCAGACAAAAAACTCTTAGCAAAGCAGGAAGGAAAAGGAGTCTACATAATCTGATACAGATATCTACAATAAACAGATAGCAAACATCGTACTTCATGGAGAAATTTGAACACTTTTCCTCTGAGATGGGGAAATGAGTAAGGGATGCCTTCTGTTTACCATTTCTACACAACAAACACGGCCGCGCTAACATATAGGAAGCAAGACAGTGATATATTGCAAGCTTTTCAGGGCATTTATCCCGTTGAATGGGGGGAGAATGGGAAAGATAAAATAACAAAGAACAATTATATAGGGGCACCTGGGTGGCTCAGTAGGTTAAAGCCTCTGCCTTCGGCTCGGGTCCTGGTCCCAGGGTCGGGTCATGGTCCCAGGGTCCTCGGATCTAGCCCCACATCGGGCTCTCTGCTCAGCGGGGAGCCTGCTTCCTCCTCTCTCTGCCTGCTTGTGACCTCTGTCTGTCAAATAAATAAAATCTTAAAAAAAAAAAAAGAACAATTATATAGCAATGAGAATCTCTCTTCCGCTTTGCTCATCCCTTTTTTTCCTCTGAGGATCAGAACCAGAGTGGAAGCAACAGTCTTTTGGATCACCAATCAGATGCTGCTGATCGTTCAACTTTAGACCAAGAAGGAGCCTTGAAATATCATCCCCTATAACAACCCTGTGGATTCACAAGAAAAGAACGATGGGCCAGAGAGACTGAAGGAGTTGTCTAAGATCCTACTGCCACTTAGAACCCGTTTTCCTCGCTGGTTGGTAATGTGAGTCTCTTAGGTCCAATGTGAGCATCCCCAGGTGCCGCAGCGACTCCACCTCCTGGGGTGAAGGCTCCAGAGGAAAGCGTCACCCACGGAGAGGCAGAGCAAGTCTGGTGGCACACCTTTTGCCCCGCTGACATCACAAGCAGAATGCTGGGGCTGGTCACACTTGAATTGTGATGTCAAGGAACAAAGCTGGCAATTTTCGAGAAGGGGGGCCAACTTGATAGGGAGATCACAAAACAGCAGCCAAAGGGAAAGGTGAGAAGGCAGCCATCGGATCCCAAGAGATGGAGAGGGCTGGGGTGGGGCGCGTGGGACTGATGGGGACCCTCCTGACAGCTAGTGAAGTGAGACCAGGGCAAGACCCCTGCACCTGAATGCCCAGGGGTTCTTTTCTCTCCCGTCACAGGGCCGCCAAGCCTCTAGCCCTCCCTGACATGCAGAAGGTTTCACGTAAGTACTTGTGTCCATTTTCCCTTACATTGATGTGACTTCTTTCTGCCATCCGCTTGCTTGACTAAGATTTGTTGCAGGAGTTAGGGCTGGGACATGGAGAACACAAACCCCATGTTATGCCTCCCATGTTGGCTGACCGATGACACAGTCTCTGTACCCCATGGGGAGACAGCTGCTTCCATGGAAAGGACTGGCCCTCAGAGGCCCTTCAACACCTGCTGTGGCTTCTTCATGGTTCTGCTCTGTCTTCTCAGGGCCAGCCCAGGACCGCAACCCAGCCCTGCAGCCCCCTGCCCAGCCCTCAAGACCTCCCCAAACCCAGCTCCTAATGAGTAACAGCAGTCTCAGCACCTTCGAGGACCAAGTCCTCTGTCCCATTTGCCTGGAGGTGTTCCGCAACCCGGTCACCACCGCCTGCGGGCACAACTTCTGCATGACCTGCCTCCAAGGCTTCTGGGACCACCAGGCCACCGAGGGCGAGACACTCTACTGCCCCCAGTGCCGGGAGAGCTTCCCCTCCAGACCGCGCCTCTGCAAGAACGTCATCCTGGAAGAGATGGTGACCTGCTTCACCCAGGCCAAGGGCCACACCTTGGGATCCTCTCTGATCCTGGCGGGGCCCCGGGACGTGCCCTGCGACTTCTGTGCTCCGCAGAAGCTCAAGTCGGTCAAGTCCTGTCTGCAGTGCATGGCCTCCCTGTGCGAGAAGCACCTGCGCAGCCACTTCGAAGACCAGGCATTCCAGGACCACTCGCTGCTGGAGCCCGTGTGGGACCTCAAGAGCCGCCTGTGCCGCAAGCACCGCCAGCTGCGGCGGCTATACTGCCGCACGGAAGGCTGCTGCGTGTGTGGGGCCTGCCTGCTGGAGGAGCACAAAAACCATGACACCATCCCCCTGGAGGAGGAGCGTGCTCGCAAGGAGGTGAGGCCAGAGGGGAGGAGCCAGGGCCCTGCCGCCCACCCGCCCCCGACACTCACCCAGCATGAGTCTTTTTTTTTTTTTTTTTTTTTTTTTAAGATTTTGGGGCCCCTGTGTGGCTCAGTTGGTTAGGCGACTGCCTTCGACTGGGGTCATGATCCTGGAGTCCTGGGATCAAGTCCCACATCTGGCTCCCTGCTTGGCAGGGAGTCTGCTTCTCCAGCTGACCTCTCTCCTCTCATGCTCTCTCTCTCAAATAAATAAATAAAATCTTAAAAAAAAAAAGATTTTATTTATTTATTGACGGAGAGACACAGAGAGAGAGGGAACACAAGCAGGGGGAGCAGGAGAGGGAGAAGCAGGCTTCCCCCCCTCCCAGCAGGGAGCCTGATTCGAGGCTCGATCCCATGACCCCGGGGATAATGACCTGAGCCAAAGGCAGATGCTTAACGACTGAGCCACCCAGGAGCCCCAGAGTGTGAAAGCCTTTCATAAGCCGGGGGCACACCTGTCCTTGGAGGGTAGTTATGAGACCATCCAAGTGACAGCCATGGGGGCGGGTGCGCGGGGACGTGAGCAAGGGCTGGCAAGTTCGATGAACAAGGGTCCCAAGTTGTATGTACGAGTTCTAGGGTTCATTTTTTTCTTGCACAGCAAAAGGAAAGTTGGAGAGAAAACATATCATGTCGGGTGGAGCAAATCCCCTCCTTTTCTCTACTTTCAACTCTTGTTACATATATTTGCCCCGGTTTTTCGAGGGGAACACATATTTCAGACATTCTACCATGTGTGTTCGGTAAGAGTGCTCTCCCCACATAGCCACCGGGAACGGGAACGAGAACGGCCCATGGCCAGAGGCTCAGGCCAGGGTGGAAACCCATTCACCACCCTGTTGAGCTCAGCTGGCACTTTTTCCATAGCGAGACTTGGTCAGCAGCATGTTGACTTAGAGAGTCTGGCTTGAGCTGCTTATCTGGGGGTGCGCCAGCAACAGCTCACGGACAGGCACTTGGACCCGCACAGTTCTTCATCTGTTGTAAACAAGAATGTGCCCGTTGCTGGAACAGGTGGAGAACAGACGGCTTCTCTGTAGAGGGACATGGGACACAGTGCGCGCTGGGCCAGGCAGCACCAGCCCAGCGAGTTATCTCTGGGGCTCCGTATCCGCTATGTTCCTCCTCGACCCACTGCCACCTCTCAAGCCACTGCACCCTCTACAGCCCCTTTCTGTGACCTGAAACCCCGTGGTCATCACTATTAGGGCAGAGAACCTGGGAGTCAGAGACCACGAGCAGAGGGTAGACCCTGGGCCACCGTCCCTTCAGCGCTGGTCTTTCTCTCTCTCGTGCAGGCATCTTCGGAATGTAAGAGGTATGCCTCCTCTGGGCTTGTGGAAGGGCTTCTCCGAGGCCACTTCCTGGAATCAGGGGCCCTCTCCTCCTCCCTCTTGCTCCCAGGTGGAGGTTCGGAAGGTCCAGGCCAATGTGGAAAACCAGATGCTGATCATCAACTCTGACAGCCAGAAGCACAGGGGGCAGGTGGCCTTTCTCTCGGTAAGCCTGGCCCACCCTCTCCCAGGCCGGGGTTTCCTGGCAGTGCCCTGCATCGGGCTCAAGGGCCCTCTCAGGGCTTGGAGTGGAGGTCGTGGAGCCCAGCTATCAGCAACAGGACGCCGAGGCAGGCTCCAGGCCAGAACACTCGGGGTACCCGGCTCCAGCTCCTAGATACCTCTCGACACTCCGTCCACCCCACCCCCCTGCAGAAACTGATCCAGACAACTCGTGAGGAGGTGAACACCTGCTTCTCAGAGATCATCCAGGAGGTCAAAAATCTGCAAATGAAGGTCTTGGATTTTGTGGAGAAAGAGGAGGCAGCGGCTCTGGGGAAGCTGGGCAGCTCTATCCAGCAGAGCCACAACCGGCTCCTGAAGCTGGAGGGGGACAGCATCTGGCTCCGCACCCTGCTCGCCAACAGGAGCGACCAGCAGTTTCTGCAGGCAAGCCCCCCACCCCTCCCATCTCTGCCCCAGGCCCTGACACAGCCTCCGCTCCCCTCCCCCTCGCCACCTGCAGATGCCCCAGATCTGCCCAGACCTAGGATTAAGTGGTCAGCATTTGGGGCTGCCTCTCTTCGTCTACTCTCCAGCCTCCAGGAGGCTCCCCATCCCAGGCCATCAGTCCCGAGCTTACACCAACCTACCTGGCTTCTTCCTCCACCTGGGGCACTCAGCCTTACCCTAACCTTCCTGCCTTCGTTTTCCTGAACAGAAGGGAGTGGACCCTGGGATTCCGAGTACCTGCCACGGTGTACGTTTCTCCAGACTCCCCCAGGTCAGGGAAGCAAACAAGTCCAGAATAATCCAGATAGCCTGGCATGAAATCCCTTTTCCTTCCCCAGCCCTGGCCTGGTCCCCAGCCCATTGCTGCTACAGGAGGGTAGGAGTCAAGGTCACTAAGCAGAGGTCTGGGTGACAGCAACCTTGTCTATGCCTGTGGCCCAGGGCTCCCCAGACTCCGGACTCAGCACTGACCTCCTTTCTTCAGCTGGGATCACGCGCCTGGGAGCAGATTTCTAATTTCTAGAGCTGTTGCTCACTGCGTCCAGCCACACACAGCAGCGGCCTCCCTCAACACACACACACTCACCAGGAAACATTTGGCAAAGTTTTTCCCTAAGCAATTAAAAGCTCAAGAGAAACCTCTTCCCGTTGTTTTCTAATACACTTTGCTTAATGCACGAGGCCACAGCGGCCATGCTTTTAGCAAAGCCTTCATCTAAGACCTCATGACCAGCAGGGAGGGAGAGAGGTGTCCAGGTTTGAAAATAAGCCATTTCTTCACCTGCCCCATGGTTCCGAGGACCCCGGAGCCCCTAGCATAAGCGGGAGCTCCTGGCATCGGCCGGGGCGCTGGCTCACAGGTGGCACTGGGGGCCGCTCCCTGCCTTCAGGAGTTCCCCAGGCTGAAGCACTTCCCTGCCTGCGTGGAACCCCTGATGGGAACCAACTGTGAGGAGAAGCAGACCTTCCTCCAGTTGCCAGAGACCCTGGAGGAGCTCCGGACCCGGCTGATGGACCTGGGCCTCAGCTTCATCAATCAGCTGCTCCTGAAGGGTCAGTACCGACAGCCCGGGGCTACCGGAGACTCACCCGAGTTCGGGGGGCAGGACCGCCCCACAGGGCAGTGTTTGCAGAGAGCCCTGCCTGCCCCTGTGTGCCTTCCCCCAGGTGACGCAGCCTGCTGGAAGCCCACGCCTCTCTCTGGAAGAACGCTGGGCTGTAAGAGTGTCCTCAGCAAAGCCCCTCCATCCCCCCCCCCACCAGGCATTAAGATGAACTCCTATGAGGTGCTGCCCCCAGCTGTGGACAGGAAAACACTTCTCAAGTGTGAGTCCTCCCCAGTGGCATCCAGAATCGGTGGGAAAGAAAGGAGCAGCCCCACTCCCACCCCGGGGGCCCTCATCTTCCCCTGCCCCACCTGCTTTCAGACCAGGGCTCCAGAGAGATGCCAGCCCTGGTTGCCCTGACCTCCCACGTGCCTCTGGAGACCTCAGAAGGACTCAGCCTGCAACTCGAGGCCCTGATCCGGGGAGGGGAGGACTAACCTGTCTCATCCCATGGCTGGACCAAGGATCTACCTCCTGCCCAGCCACTGGTTCTGCCGCCCTCCCGGGCTGTGGTGTGTCACCACCTCTGCCCTCAGCTCGGTGCCTGCCAGTGTCCCCCGGGGCTTTAGTCTAGCCAGCTTGGATGACACTAACCATTTCGTCCTCAGACAAGCTTCCTTTTCATTTGATGCTTCCGCAGCCCGTCTCCTGGGCCGGGCTGGGAGGCGCAGCTCCGTGACTTCTCTGAGATACAGTGGGTCTCTCTGGTGAATCCCTGAGTCACCTCCTCCAGGAGCCCTTGACCTTCCCTCAATCCCGTCCAGTCTCAGGTCCTCGGCCCGGGGTGCTCATCCCATCTCCCTTCCCCGTCTCCTCCCACAGGTTACTGCAACCTGAACTTTGACCCCACCACGGCCAGCGAGGAGCTGTTCCTGTTCAAGGAGACCCACTCGGTGCTGAACCTGGGCATCCTCCTGGAGCCCTTCGCCACGGGCGGCCCCTTGCCCGGCTTCAAGCAGTGGCCGCAGGTGCTGTGCTCGCGCGGCCTGTCCGACGGCCGCCACTACTGGGAGGCCGACGTGTCCAACTCGTGGGTGTGCCTGGGCCTCACCTACCGCCGCAGCCCCCCGCTCGGCAGCCGCCCGCGCCGCAACATCGTCTACCTGCTGGGCCGCAACCCCTACTCGTGGTGCCTGGAGTGGGACTCGCTCAAGTTCTCCGTGTGGCACAACAACACGCAGACGGTGCTGCACGGCGGCTACCACCGCACGCTCGGCGTGGCGCTCGACTGCGGCGCCGGCTGCCTCTCCTTCTACTGCGTGGCGGGCGGCGTGAGCCTGCTCTACCGCTTCCTCGTCTCCTTCCTGGAGCCGCTCTACCCCGCGGTCATGGTCAGCAGCGGCGCCTCCGTGACGCTCAAGCAGCGCCCGGAGGCGGAGGCGTAGGCGGCGGTCAATAAAGCTGGACTGGAGCGCTGGCTGTGCCCGCGGAGCCCCGCGGGGCGCGGCGGGGGGCGGTGTGCGGTGGCCACGGGAGGTCCCGGCCCCCGGTGGAGGGGTGGGATGGGCAGCCAACCGGCCTCCCGACCCGCCGCCCGGGATGGCCTGGGAATCCCAGGAAACAGGCAGACCCCTCCGTTCCCGCAGCCCCTCTGAGCCAGGCTGGAGTTCCCCCGGGGACTGGGGACAGTCCGGCGGCCTCCGGAGGGTGGATTCCTGACCCGGGTGCACAGTCTCCCCCACCGTGGTGACCACCTTCCTAACCCCCCATCAGAGGCCCCTGGCCTTGGCTCTCCAGGCTGGTCCTGATTACTCAGCATTGGGGACCCAGGGATGTGTTCCCCAAGGCCAGGTGGCCTGAGTGGGCGGGGCTTGGAGCAGATGGCTTCTCTCTGCCCCTCCCCCGCAGGTGACCAGGCTGAGAGGAGCACCTGACATGGAAAGGGGGGGTTCTGTCCCAGCTGCTTAACTGGGGTTTGGGAGGTTAAGGCGAGGAACCCAGGCTGATCTCAGGCCCAAAGACAGGCTGAGGGCCTACTGACCGGAGCAGAGCGCCTCATACAGCTGGTGTTTCATAGTCGGGCCTCCGCTCTCCTCGAGCGTACCACCGCCCAAAAGCAAAGGGGGCTGCTTGCGCACCCAGGCCTCTGGCAACCCACCTGCCCCGCTGCGGGTGCGAAGTCCCCCGCAAGGCTGGATCCCAGCCGGGTTCCTGCCTTGCGACCGCAGGAGCGCGCCCGGGGACTCTGGGGAAGTCCCCCCAGCATTTCCAGCCTCAACCAGCCGCTAGTTCCTCTGGCTTCTCCTGCCGAGGCCCTCGGGTTAATGATTGACTCTGAAGAGGAAACGCTACAAATCCGGGAGAAAATCCCTCTGGCAAAGCGCTACCAAGTCCAGAACCGGCCCCAAGAGCGCCCAGCCCCACGGGTGTGCCTGAATTCCATCCCCGCTGGGCCTGTTGGAAGAGATATTAGGGACCCTAGTTTCCCATCAGGAGAGGTCATTTTGGCGCCAGGGCAGGGCCAGACCGGAATGGGATGCAGGGGGTACGCTCAAGGTCTCCGAGGGTGGGGCGGCCTTTGGCTCCTCTGAGCAAGCTGTGGTTTCTTGCCGACGGTCCTTTCTGGAGTCTTCACTCAGCACCAATTCCAATCACTCTTGCCCCCAAGAGCTATTCCCCATGCTGATAGGCAGGAATGAAATGCAGACTTTTCCCAGTGTTCAGGAGAGGTCTCTCACATCCACAGGCCTCCATCTTGCCACCCCACCCCTCACCCCTGCAATCTTCATTCTTCCTCTGGCTGAGGTCAGGAAGGGCTGAAGGGGCGAAGGGGGGGGTGTGTCTAGCTGCATGGATCTCTGAGTCTTTCCCCGACTCCTTGCAAGGAGGCCGCTGTAATGCCGGAACAGTCCTGACACCTTCCTGCACATGTTGGTGTCAAATCCACACCTGAGCTAAGGGGGGTATTTGCTTTCCTAAAAAGCTCATCTGTAGTTCCTAGGCCACTAGGAATTCACGGTGATAGTCCTGGGTGGGGTGGGGGTCCTCAAATGCTTTTTAGTATTTCACAAAGCCAATTGGGAAAGCAGGCCTGCACATCAGGGAGGCTACGCAGCAAACCAAAATGTCAGCATTTTCTGCTGGGGTCCTCCCAGTGCAAGACCAGCCAGTGCTCTTGGATAATCATGTCTGTCAACCCCACCCCTTCCCTTTCCCCCACTGCAGAGACACCAGGGAAGGGACTGTCCCTGCAACACCACCCACGCTCTTCTTATGACTTCCTGCTCCTGCCTTAGCACTCAAATATTTTTTTGTGTGTGTGAATCTGAACAGGCTGTAAACTAGTCTGTCACCAAGGATTATTTCGCTTTAAAAATGTCCATGTTGTTGTTTACAAAAAAGATTGTGTTCCTGTACTACTTGGGTAATTTTAAAATTAATCTTTTTTGCATTTTCTATAAAAGTGATGTTGCTTTTATTTAACACATGACGTCTACTATATGCCAGCCACTGCTGATGGCAAATGAAATGTTTGTGGCCAATATGAACCTCATAACCTTATAAATAGGTATGAATTATCCCCATTTTATGGATAAGGAAACAGAAGAGGTTAAGTGACGTGTCTAAGGTCATAAAGGTATATAATTGAGCCAGGATTCAACTCTAGGCTGTCTTTTTTTAGCTATTATGCTACACCACCTCTCCTATTCTGCATTTGCTCTAGAAAACTTACCGATACTGTACTTTCAAAATGCAAAAGCTTATGCAAAATGCAAACATGACTTGTTCACTGGCTGTATAACATTACATCTATATTCTACAAATTCTACAACCTATAGCTTTGGTGTGTGTATGTTTGCTTAATATCTGCAACCAACATGGGGCTCAAACTCACAACTCCGGGATTAAGAGTTGTAGGCTTTTCCAACTGAGCCAGCCAGGTGCCCCTCCTATGGCTTTGTTTTGTCTTTAATTCCTTCCTGATTCCCACTGGAGATGGGTGGCGAGTGGCAACCGAGCCAAAGCCACAGATGTTGCTTCCTCCATGTTACTCCCAAGTTTGGCCCAAACTCAGAAGGCTCAAGGTAAGGGCCAAAGGATCTTGGTAGCAGCCATGGTTTCTACCCATCTCATCATGCTGGCGCACAGTTGGGGGGAGAACAGAAGCAGGACCAGGTAGCAGGAACCTAGGGAAGAAGGCTGAATCCTGCCCTTTCCCAAGGGATGGTGTGCTCAAGCTGGGGATAGAAGGGAGAGGATGGTTGTGGGAGCCTGGCATATGGTGGGCAGCCGGCACCTGTCAGGAACATCCCACTTAAGAGAGCATCAGCTCAACTCTGCACTTTACCTGTGAGGAAGTCCTCTGGTGGTACGTGGACCAGATCCCACCAGCAAAGGAGAGGGGGACTGTTTCTAGCCTGCCCTGCTGGCTCAGTCCCACGCCGACTCCACCCCCCAGCTCCTGGCCACAAACATCAAGTCTCCTGTAGCTCTCACGGGCTTCATTACCAGCCCTATACTATCCTATCTTCCAAAGGGTCTTCCTTCCTGGGCTTTGCTCATGTTGTCCCTGCTGTCTAAAACACTCTTCCACCATCACCCACTCAAGTGGGACACTTGTCATGTACTCCCATACAGAGCTTAAGACAGCTAAGATGCTCTGTGTTCCAAGAAGCAAGTCTTGAACCCCGCCTCCCTAAGCCAAGTGGTGTTCCCTCCTCTCTGCTCCCATAACATGCTCTGCATGTGTTCCTCCTGGCATCCACTTGTTTCCTGTGAGAATTGTCCATCGGATAGAGGGGCAGGCTGGATATTTCATGTCTCCAGTGCTAAATGCATGCTTACCAGAGAGCAGGTCCCTACTGAATGTTGACGCAAGGACTGAAGAAAACTTTCTAGAGGTTGGAGGGTGGGGGGGCCACCCAGATCCTTTCCAGGGTCAGGTCAGGTTTGGTGTGAGTGGCCTGGCACAGCTGCCCAACGACTTCCTTCTCCTCCCTTTGCCATCCTTTTGCTAAGTTAAGTCTGCACATGCCCTGCATCCCGGCGGGAGCAAAGGACCTTCCCATTCCTCCATTTGCTTCCACTTTTGACCTCCCCTTTAGCATGAAGATTCTTTGAGGCTGAGGATCCTCCAGCAGGTGTGTGAAGGAAGAAACACCTCCCTCAGCCTCTTTTTCCTGATCAGCAAAATGGCATGGATAGGGATACCATTCATATTTGCTAAAGATTATATGACTCCCTGTGCTTCTCAAACCAGGAAGCTGGGAAACATGCATTTGGTTCAGGACCGGGATGAGGATGAAGCAAATGAGGCATTCATCTCAGACACAGAATTTAAGAAAGGGCCCTAGGGGGCACCTGAGTGGCTCAGTAAGTTAAGCATCTGCCTTTGGCTCAGGTCATGATCCTCTAGTCCTGGGATCGAGTCCTGCATTGGGCCCAGCTTCAGGGTCTCTGCTCCCTGCTTAGTGGGGAGTCTGCTTCTCCCTTTCCCTGTGCTTCTTCCCCTGTTCATGCTCTATCTCAATCTCTCTCTCAAATAAACAAAATATTTTTTAAAAGAAGGGTACTAAATGAGAAAAATATGCAGCCAAGAATACCTTATCCAGCTAGAATGTCATTGGAAATAGAAGAAGTGATTAAAACTTCCCAGAACAAACAGAAACTAAAAGAATTTGTGATCACCAAACCTGCCCTACAACAAATATCGAAAGGGGTCCTCTAAGCAAAGAGAGAGCCCAAAAGTAACATTGGCCAGAAAGGAACAGAGACAATATACAGTAACGGTCACCTTACAGGCAATACAATGGCACAAAATTCATATCTTTCACTAGTTGTCCTAAATATAAACGGGCTAAATGCCCCAATCATAGGTTGCATGGTATCAGATTACATAAAAAAGCAAGACCCGGAGCACCTGGGTGGCTCAGTGGGTTGAAGCCTCTGCCTTCGGCTCAGGTCATGATTCCAGGGTCCTGGGATCGAGCCCCACATCGAGCCCCACATCTGGCTCTCTGCTCAGCGGGGAGCCTGCTTCCTCCTCTCTCTTTGCCTGCTTCTCTGCCTACTTGTGATCTCTGTCTGTCAAATAAATAAAATAAAATCTTAAAAAAAAAAAAGCAAGACCCATCGATATGCTGTCTGCAAGAGACTTATTTTAGACTCAAAGATACCTCCAGATTGAAAGAAGGGAGTGGAAAACCATTTATCATGCTGTGCACATCAAAAGAAACCTGGGGTGGCAATCCCTTTATCAGACAAATTAGATTTTAAACCAAAGACTATAATAAGAGGTGAGGAAGGACACTATATCATACTTAAAGGGTCTATCCAACAAGACTATCTAACAAGTGTAAATATTTATGCCCCTAGTAGGGGAGCAGCCAATTATATAAGCCCATTAATAACAAAATCAAAGAAACACATCAATAATAATAAAATAATAGCAGGGGATTTTAACACA